AATGATAATAATAATAATTTAAAAAAATAATTAAAAAAAAATCTGTTGGATTTTTTAAGGTCCTGCCTAATAGCAGACAGAAAACCCCGCCTTTGATAGCCAGAGATAATCCCTTTGTGTGCCTCACTGAAGCTAGTTTCAACCAAGATGTGACACAAAAGCGCCAAAGACGATCATTCCTCAGAGGGATGTAGTGGTGTGCATATTTGCAGGAAGCAGCCCCACTATGGTCAGCGAGACTGAGACATCTAGAAGAAAGCACAAAGAAGGGGGCGGGCGCCTTTCCTGGTGCAGATATGTTTATTCAATAGCAGGTAAAAAGGAACAGGAATGTACTCACAAGAGTAGAGTATAAATAAGCCATAGGACAATGAACCAGAGCAGGGCAAGTGGAAATCCGTATAACATATCCTATGTGCTGATGTTTGAGATGTCAGCGTTGACGCGTTTCCGGGGCACGCCCCCTTCATCAGAACATCATGGTTCCGGGGGACGCCCCCTTCATCAGAATCTGGAAACGCGTCAACGCTGACATCTCACACATCGGCACATAGGATATGTTATACGGATTTCCACTTGCCCTGCTCTGGTTTCATGATACACACAGACTCCTCTCCCTGGTTCTTCTTTACTCCTCCTTTACACAATGCAGCTCTGTGGGGTTGATTCATAAAAAAAAAAAAAAATTACAGGGGGGGAGTCCCTGTGAACATTGGTCGTGAACGTATATTAGATTTACACACATGAATCTACTTTAGATTTTCCCATTAAGGTGCCCATACACCCTACAAGTGTATGGACAGCTTTGCAAATGTAATCAAATGTGGTTACGTTGTGACTGTAATGTCACATCATGGCCGCTAGGTGGCGCTACAAGAGATTTGATAATAAAATTCCTATCTTCTATGCTCCTGTAGCGCCATCTAGCGGCCATGATGTGACATTACAGTCACAACGTAACTTCACATTTGATTACTTTTGTAAAGGGAAAATCTAATATACGTTCAGGACGAATGTTCACAGATATTCGCAGGGTGAACGGCACTGCAAATCCTTTATAAATGATCCCCTGTGTGCCGGTGGCAATGCACTTCTTCCTCTCTGGATTATAGTGGAAGGGATACTGATAGGTATAGGGAAGCACATATATGTGTTCCTCTCAGCACAAGTTTCCCTTACAGAAGAAATACCCTTAACCCTTGGAGTTCCTCCCCCCCTGTCCTCCCCTTCAGCCTTCTCTCTGACCTCTGTCCTCCCCTTCAGTCTTATATCTAACCTCCGTCCTCCCCTTCAGCCTTCTCTCTGACCTCTGTCCTCCCCTTCAGTCTTCTCCCTGACCTCCGTCATTCCCTTCAGTCTTCTATCTGACCTCTGACCTTCCCTTTAGTCTTCTATCTGACCTCCGTCCTCCCCTTCAGTCTTCTCTCAGACCTCCGTCCTCCCCTTCAGTCTTCTATCTGACCTCTGACCTTCCCTTTAGTCTTCTATCTGACCTCTGACCTTCCCTTTAGTCTTCTATCTGACCTTCCACATTTCCTGGCTGGAGAACTTCCAGCATCATCTAGCACTTTCCTCCCCAGCCTGATTCTCCCTGACCCCGCCCCTTTCACTCATTGGATGTCAGTTCCTTCAATCACGGAGGCTCATCGTCACATGTGGGCGGTACCTAAGGCAGCCTGTGTAGGAGCACCCACTCCTCCAGACTGATACCAAATATTTTGATATTTGCATAACCCCTCCCATAAGTGAGCCCATTGCTTGTACCAGGGCTATTGAGAGGAGTACTGAGGCAGGGTGCTGTGATGATTTCAGGAAGCTATGTACAGCTCCTCCCACCAGCCATGATCTGCCTGCATTGCACAGGGACCCAGTGATGACATCACAAGGCATGTAATGAGAACTGGAAGGGTCCATTTATAAATGTCAGTGGGGGGGTGGGATGCTTTCTATTATATATATTGTATGTGGCGCAGTGGGTGGAGCTGAGCGGGGGAAGTGGGCGGGGTTTTGGTGCTCCTCATTAACCATCTCCTGTCCGTAGGTCCTGAAGCCTGTGGTGGAGAAGCAGAGGCGGGATCGGATAAATCGCAGCTTGGACGAGATGAGGGTCCTGCTCCTGAAGCTGACCGGCAATCAGGTGAGTGAAAACCTTCCATCATTCACCTAGACTCCGCCCCCTCCGGCTGTGCTTCAACTACAAATCACAGCATGCCTCGGCCTCTGGGAGTCACGCCTGTGGCTGTCAGGGTCTTGCAATGCCTCATGGGACTTGTAGTTCCGCAGCTGGGGGGCCGGAGTTGCCCACCTCTGATTTAGACCGGGAGACCAACCAAGCTTGACGGCATTGCATGGTTAACCTAACATTAGGGGCTTGCTGGTATTAGGAGAGAGCAGAGTGATGACGGTCTCAGTAAACCAGCAGCGGCATCAGGGTGGGCGTCACCCGCCGTGCATGTGGTGCGGCATGCGCGGTGATGTACTTCACTGGTACTGTACTTCATCTTGGTGATGGACGCCAGCAAAGAAAGGAGTGATGAGGTATGCCCCAGGGGGTCCCCCCCTCTCTCTCTCTCGTGCCGCTGTCAGTCCATGGCCAAGTTCCCGACTTTTAAGAGGGGGTGACCCAAAAAAGACAGTCACACCTGGCTGACTGCTGGTAACTGGCTGACTCTGGTTGTAACCAGCAGTCAGTCAGGTGGGAGGGGGCGGCCGGCCAAGCTGTCAGTCAGGTGGGAGGGGGCGGCCGGCCAAGCTGTCAGTCAGGTGGGAGGGGGCGGCCGGCCAAGCTCTCAGTCAGGTGGGAGGGGGCGGCCGGCCAAGCTCTCAGACAGGTGGGAGGGGGGCTGCCGCTCTCCCTAAACCTGCCACCGCCTCAATGATATGCCGCCTGAGGCTGCCTCATTACGGGGACGGCCCTGGATCTAACCCTTCCACACTCCATCCAAAACTACAAGTGTAGAGTAGAGTGCAGCGCCCGCCCATGGCGCAGGATTCACACAGCGTCCGCCCATGGTGCAGGATTCACAGAGCACTACCGGTTACCTAAATAGAGCGCTCTGGTGCGGGACCGGTGACCGGTGCTTTTAAAAATAACTTTACCTTGTAGGACGCGGCAACCACCCATTCTGCATTCTAAAACCGCTGATTAGTGGGCGGGGCATGCAGGTACAATTCACATCCTGCTCCCACCCCCCTCAAACCCCATGCCACTATCCATATATTTCACTGATTCGAGTTATAGGGGTTCATTTATAAACGTTACAATGTCATTCGCACAGCACCCTCAGACTCATCAGCACCATCTAGGGGCTCCGGTGCCATGCCAATGGCATCCACCTGGCTATAAGCCAAGCCAGTGGTGGAACTATCATCATAGCGACCCAGGCGGCTGCTATGGGGCCCGGGGCAGAGGGGGGCCCGGCCAGGACAAGGAACAAAGGGGTCCCCCTGATACCGTGCGGGCCGCCTGGGTTGCTATGGCATGGCAATGGCTGTCACTGGCGGCTGTGAGGAGGAACGCGCCGCTGTTCAGATCACTGACGACCAGCGGCGCGTTCCAACTCCCAGCCGCTGCTGAGTCAGTGACAGCCAGCAGCTGAGGAGGCAGCGGAGGAGATGGCAGGGCACAGTGACAGAGAAGGAGGAGGAAGCGGGGCCCGGCATTGGCAGCGGAGGAGGAGGCGGGGCCTGGTGATGGAGGAGGAGGCAGGGCATGCCAGTGAACGTGCAGGAGGAGAAGGCGGGGTCCGTTGGTGGAGGAAGGTGACAGCGGATCGGGGCTGACAGGTAAGAGGTGTGCAGGGGTGTTACCAGCCCACCTGAGACCCGGCAGAGCCCACCATAGAGAGTCTATGGTGTGCTCCGCAAGGTCACTCTCAAGCGTGCTGTGTGGGATCTCAGGTGGGCTCTGCAGGAGGCGTAACTAGAAATCACAGGGCCCTGTGATTTCTAGTTACGCTATGGGGCCCTGTGATTTCTAGTCCCGCCCCTGAGCCAAGCAGAGGTTTTATGAATGAGCCCCGTAGCGTGTTTTCACTGAGCGTGTGTTTGGAGACATTGAAGCCCAACTCCGGCCAGACATAACAAAGCTGATAGAGAGGCACAACCATTGTGTGACACTACAGAGCAGGAAGCCGAGCCGGTATAGTGATAGGCAGCTGTGTCGGGGCCTTCTACACATTCACAAAATACACACCAAAGCAAAGGTTTAAAAACATGAATTTCCCACATTTGATCTCTTTTAAATATATGTAACTACAAAAAAACACTACTGATGTGTCTGAAATATAATGTGCTCCTGTCTTCCTCTTTGACATGACAACACAGCGTATTATCGGCTCTGAATTCCAAACCACGTGGTGTCAGCCCTGCCCACTTTATTTCTGATTCATCACAAAACACGGAGACCTCCCCTTATCTCCATTACCCCTCCACATCCCATCCTACACCTTCCTCATCTCCCCCTACCACTCCTCATCTCCTTAATACTTCCTCACCCCCTCCTCATCACCATAACCCCTCCTCATCTCCTTAATACTTCCTCACACCTACCCCCTCCTCATCTCCTCCTACCCCTCCTCATCTCCATAACCCCTCCTCATCTCCTCCTACCCCCTCCTCATCTCCTTAACCCTTCCCCTCCTCTTCATAACCCCTCCTTATCCCTTCCTATCCCCTCCTCATCACCATAACCCCTTCTCATAAACCATCCTCATCCCTAATAACATCTCCTCCTACCCTTTCCTCATCTCCTTAATACTTCCTCACCCCCTCATAAACCCTCCTTATCCCCTCCTAATCTTCTCCTACCCTCTCCCTCATCTCCTACCCTTTCCTTATCTCCTCCTTCCCCCTCCTCATCCCCATAACCCAACCCTCCTCATAAACCCTCCTCACCCCCCAAAACCTCTTCCTCATCTCCTCCTACCACTCCCCATCTCCATAACCCCTCCTCATCTTCTCCCATCACCCCCCTTCATCTCCTCCTACTCCTCGCCATTACCCTAACCCCTCCTCATCTCATTATTAGCAGCAGTAAGGGGGGGGGGCTTGGCCAGTTGTTGCCTCTAGGGCTGGATTAGCACAGTCTACCAGAGTGCACGTATTCAGCTTTGGCTTTCTTGTTAGAATGTCCAGTATGCTTTTCAAACTGAATGTAATAGTTTGCAAAATCATAGCCGAATTGTAAATCATTTTAGGATCCCATGAATGTTGTCCACTGTTACTCCCAGTGCTGGCTGTGAAGATTTTATTATTACAATGAGTTATTTATTTGGGATAAATATGGGGAGGCTCTCAGCTGATTCTTCTACTAAGGGCAAGCAGGGGAAAAATAGGACCCCCCAAGAAACATCTGGCTGTTAGGTGTGGCAAACCTTCCACGCTTTGTGCTGCGTTCATGTGCAGTGGCCGTGCATTACATCATTGAGGAATGCTCCTGCCAGTCCACCCAAAATTGGTGTTTGTTAGATGATGAGGATGTCCAAGTGAAATTCCACGCATTGGAAGGCAGGTTCTGCAGTTGCAGATCCAAGTCCTGTGATAATGGGCATGAAAGAGATAACAGTGATGTAGCTACATAGGCACAGTGCCCATCTTACTGCCCCCCATCTTACTGCCCCCCCAGTT